GCCGGGCAGTCTTCGGTTTGATCCCGCTGCTTTCCGGCCGGGCAGTCTTCGGTTTGATCCCGCTGCTTTCCGGCCGGGCAGTCTTCGGTTTGATCCGCTGCTTTCCGGCCGGGCAGTCTTCGGTTTGATCCCGCTGCTTTCCGGCCGGGCAGTCTTCGGTTTGATCCCGCTTTCCGGCCGGGCAGTCTTCGGTTTGATCCCGCTGCTTTCCGGCCGGGCAGTCTTCGGTTTGATCCCGCTGCTTTCCGGCCGGGCAGTCTTCGGTTTGATCCCGCTGCTTTCCGGCCGGGCAGTCTTCGGTTTGATCCCGCTGCTTTCCGGCCGGGCAGTCTTCGGTTTGATCCCGCTGCTTTCCGGCCGGGCAGTCTTCGGTTCGATCCATTAGACATGGCACGTGGAACTAGAACAGTTTACCCCAGCGAGCGAAATAAAGGGTTCAGTTCGACATTCCACACACCTGAAGAATATATATTATCCATCGTGCCATGTCTAATGGATGTCAGTTATCAGTTATCTCCTGTTAATTCCCCTCTCCAAGTTCTCCACTGCCTTAACCAGGTATTGAACTCACACTATTTCAGTCCTCTCACTGGGTCTACCTGACGTCTTTATCCACTGTACCATGTGTCCTTGAGGACATGGCACGTGGAATTAGAATAGTCTACTCCAGCGAGCGAAATAAAGAGTTCAGTTCGACATTCACCTGAAGAAGGCCGGAGCGTACAACGGCCGAAACGGTGTGATAAATATGGCAACAAAGATGAGGACGATAGTCCGAAAAATGTAAATAGTATCGCAGGGCGTCTTCAGATATTTTCTGCTGCATTACAAGGAATCGACCATTTTTGCCAGCAACTTTCACGATGAATAATATATATATATATATATAATATGCCGTCTACTTGTGAACATGGGGGTAAACTTCCGCTCCTATAAGCAATTTATTCCACTGAAGAAGCGTGCATTAATTGTTACAGTTAGCCTGGCAGCCTTGATTAGGGCAGTCAATGAAATCCTTAAATTCTGGTTTCATAGAAGTAATTTGTCGGCGAACCCCAATTCTTCTTTTCAGCTATACTTTTATGCTTTATCATGGTCCTCCACATCTTCCTGTCCCTCGTAGCTCTTAATGGTAGCACCTATTAGGGTCCTAGCTGTGGTCAAATAGTTAACCTCTAAGCTGGGGTCAAAACACTATGAAAGTGTAAAAATAGGTTTTAATACCAGCAATATTTTTTGTAAAAAAAAAAAAAAAATACATTTCTGAAGAAAAATTATTACCAACAATATATTTTTGAACAAAAATATTACCAGGAATACCTTTTTCAAAAAAATATTACCAGCAATAAAAATCTTGTTGGCATTAAATAAACCGTTGAGTTTTATATACCATAAAAGAGAACAAATCAAACTAAGCCTATTAGGTTACACGAAGTTTCTTTCTCTCCCCTCTTGCCTTTAATGTCATGTGAGTCTCGCATTCACCAAGCCGTCTTTCTTCCTTATGTTTCTCATAAAGTAATGAACGAGGGAGTTGAATTTTAGTGGCCCTAGTTTTAAAAAAACAAACTTGTTTTCATAAACCCTTATAAGCTATGAAACACGTGTTTGAAGATAAATGAACGAATTAACCGGGTTAGTCATGTGAATACCCAACTTGTGAACAGTCGGTTTAGTACTTTCCTGTACGCTCTGCTAGCTTCGGCAAGGAAGTGAAATTTTGAAGGCCATGTTGTTGGGACATCTGTATGCAATATGGCCCCCTGACAAATTTCAAAGCATCTGTTAGGAACTGTTTTCCGAAACTCGTTTTGTTTTTATAAAGATATTGCTTCATTTTAATGTTTCGAAAACAAATAATGACATTTTTCTCCTTTTTGTCTTGAGCATTAAATAAGGAGTTTGAATAAACCATTTTTAATGACTAACAGTACTCTTGAATTTTCTGGTCAATCAAAATTCTTATTTTAATGATTAAATAAGTTCCTTGTTAGTTATTCGCCTATAAAATACACGTAGAAATTCCTTGTTGCCTCGTTAAATATTTGATCTTAACAAGTGCAATAAAATATGGCAACAGCAATCACACGTATTATTGAAGTTTTATTATTTAAAGAAGAGTTTCACAAGTTTTATTTGTGGAGCTCTCTTTCGGCTTTCCAGGCAACTTTGCTCTCTTTCGGCTTTCCAGGCAACTTTGCTCTCTTTCGGCTTTCCTAGGCAACTTTGCTCTCTTTCGGCTTTCCTAGGCAACTTTGCTCTCTTTCGGCTTTCCTAGGCAACTTTGCTCTCTTTCGGCTTTCCTAGGCAACTTTGCTCTCTTTCGGCTTTCCAGGCAACTTTGCTCTCTTTCGGCTTTCCAGGCAACTTTGCTCTCTTTCGGCTTTCCAGGCAACTTTTCTCTTTCGGCTTTCCAGGCAACTTTGCTCTCTTTCGGCTTTCCAGGCAACTTTGCTCTCTTTCGGCTTTCAGGCAACTTTGCTCTCTTTCGGCTTTCCAGGCAACTTTGCTCTCTTTCGGCTTTCCAGGCAACTTTGCTCTCTTTCGGCTTTCCAGGCAACTTTGCTCTCTTTCGGCTTTCCAGGCAACTTTGCTCTCTTTCGGCTTTCCAGGCAACTTTGCTCTCTTTCGGCTTTCCAGGCAACTTTGCTCTGCAAAAATGTAAATGTAATGTCAATCGATATCTACTGTCCTCCTGATTATTCTTCTTTTATTCTCACTCCTTAGTAATGTTTCCGTTTTCTAATTCTTCCACACCCAGAATCCGGCTCCAGACTTTCCAGCCAACTTTAATCTTCTAAAATTTAAATGCAATGTCAGTCGCTATTTACTGTCCTCCTGCTTTCTTTTGTTCTCGCGTAACAATGTTTTTTTTTGTTTTTGTTTTTTTAACTTTTCCACACCTTGTAACCCCTGTCTTATCGTTGACCTAGTTAAGTAACACACACACACACATATATATATATATATATATATATATATGAAAAATTTCTCAGTTAACCTTTAGAAAAAGACAATACAATATTAACTGTATTATTGGCTAATAATAGTCTTCCTATTTTCTTTTACCTTTTATACATAAAGTCGCCATTGAGGACAAAACCCAGCGGCAAGAGAATGTTTCATGCTTAAACGCAATCTTCAGATCATTATTTATTTTTGATTACTTTATTATTTGTTGTTGATTGTTATCATTCAGTTTACTTTGTGTGTATTTTTAGTTTATTGTTTGTGTGTATTTTTAGTTTATTGTTTGTGTGTATTTTTAGTTTATTGTTTGTGTGTATTTTTAGTTTATTGTTTGTGTGTATTTTTAGTTTATTGTTTACTTAATTTGTTTACTCGATTTGAGTTTTTTATTTTATTTTAATTTTTATTCTTCATATTCGTTTTCTGTTTTCGATTTTTAAGTAACGAATTAAAAATTAAGATTATACAATAAAATAATATTTTGTTTTATTTTTATTGGTTATTACCCATAATGCGTCATTGAAAAGGCATATATAGTCGAGTCAAAGCATAACCTAAAGATTACTTTTAAAAGGCATATATAGTCGAGTCAAAACATAACCTAAAGATTACTTTTAAAAGGCATATATAGTCGAGTCAAAACATAACCTAAAGATTACTTTTAAAAGGCATATATAGTCGAGTCAAAACATAACCTAAAGATTACTTTTAAAAGGCATATATAGTCGAGTCAAAACATAACCTAAAGATTACTTTTAAAGTATGAAACAGATTAATATATATTACACAGGCATTTAAAGAGTCTAGTTAGTGAAACAAATCTGACAACATTCTTTGGTTTAATGCACAGTTGTAATATATTAAAATTAGAATATAATGCGTCTGGTGGAGCATTACACACACGTGTGTGAAATATATATATATATATATATATATATAAGTGAACATTGAAGTCAACACTTAGAAGCGACAGTCTGTTTCATGCTAGACGCAATCGTCAGGCCACCCATCTGAAGCAGACTGTCGCCTCTAAGTGTTGACTTCAATGTTCACTTTTATATTTACACACGCTCTATCGCTGATAATGAGCACTTATCCCATAAATATAGCACACCTAAGATTATATATATATATATATATATATATATATATATATATATATATATATATATATATATATATAATTTATTTAAAATGTGTTTTCATCGCGACACAGAATTTATTGTGTTTCGGAACTAAAAATTAAAATTTTTTGTTCCATTCTCAAGCGATGAAAACATTTGAAATAATATTATAATGCTTTACTTTGTATCGAACAATTTCAAAAAAAAAAATGCTAAAGAACTGTGGATTATTAATCTGTTCTTTCTCTTTTTTTTATTTTAAAATATACATATATATTTAAAAATGAACATTGATCACAACACTCGGAGGTGATAGATTGAAAAATTTCGTATTTTGCTTTGATAAAGTCCACATTGGACGAAACGCGTCAGCAATTACTAGTTTTCCTATTGCCATTTTTATTCATGAATATTGTCTTATCTACTGGTTAAATTAGAGAAATTTTCATATATATATATATATATATATATATATGAGCTTTCAACTTGGTATCTATTCTAATGACACAACTATTTACTCTTGCCTACACAGGTTGATCAATCCGACAAGGTTATAATGCCAGCCAATGTCCAAAACGACATCAAGTCCGTTGTTAACTGGGGCAAGAGATGGCTGGTTAATTTTAACGCTTGCAAAACTAAACTTCTCTCCATTAATCATCTGAGAAATCCCACTCTGCCTCCCATCAGCGTGACTGATGCTAACCTCCAGAAAATTGGCTCGGGTTAACATTCTCACCCGAGATTAGGTAGAAAGACGATATTGAATCCATCACCAGATCAGCTGCTATGAATGCCGGTTCATTGTGTCGTGCAAGACCATTTTTTTCTCCAGAATCTAGCCTGCATAATCTAGAAGTCTGCCATTCATCCTTGCTTAGAATATTGCCGTCACATATGGACCGGTGCCCATGCTATTTATCAAGCTCCTTGATAAAATCCAAAGAAGAATCAGCAATATTATTGGTCCTGATCTGGCGGCTCGGCTTCAGTAACTTTCCCTCCGCCGTAAGATTGGCTCTGTGTCTTCTATAAATTATTTCATAGTAATTGTTCGGATACGCACTTTGCTATGGTACCTAGATTCTTGAATTTAAGCGCAGTACTAGACTGACGCGGTCTCATCAATTTACAGCTGATTTGGCAAGATTTAACCGCAAGTTCAATGGTAACAGTTTCTTTTCTCGCACCTCTCACTTCTGGAACTCTCTCTTTTCTGTTTTCCAGGCAAATTTAATCTGCAAAAATTTAAAAACCATGTTAATCGCAATTTACTGTCCTCCTGCTTTTTGTTCTTGCTCCTTAGCAATGTTAGTTTTTTTCTTTGTAAACTTTTTCACACTTTATAACCCCTTGTCTTAGTGGCTTTACTGCCTTGATTGGGGTGAACTCTATAAAATTTGTTGCTTTCCCCTATTTTCAGGTCGTTACCGACTCCCAATAGGATGTTTCCCCGATTGCAACAATCTTAACCTGTTCAAAGACAGGGTTAACCGGTATCTTTCACTCTTATGCACACAGATGACTCCCAAACTTAACCCTCTATCTCTAGTAGCCCCCAGGATTTGTAAGGGATGAATCTCTGTTAAAAAATAAAAAAAAAAATAAAAAAAGTAAACAAATTCTAAGTTATTTTAATGACGAATTTTGTTGGTTTTGTGCAAAAATAGAAAAGTAGACACCGAGCTGGTTATCGCGCCAGTTCCCGAACGGCGGACAGCGAGCTGGTTATCGCGCCAGTTCCCGAACGGCGGACAGCGAGCTGGTTATCGCGCCAGTTTCCGAACGGCGGACAGCGAGCTGGTTATCGCGCCAGTTTCCGAACGGCGGACAGCGAGCTGGTTATCGCGCCAGTTCCCGAACGGCGGACAGCGAGCTGGTTATCGCGCCAGTTCCCGAACGGCGGACAGCGAGCTGGTTATCGCGCCAGTTCCCGAACGGCGGACAGCGAGCTGGTTATCGCGCCAGTTCCCGAACGGCGGACAGCGAGCTGGTTATCGCGCCAGTTCCCGAACGGCGGACAGCGAGCTGGTTATCGCGCCAGTTCCCGAACGGCGGACAGCGAGCTGGTTATCGCGCCAGTTCCCGAACGGCGGACAGCGAGCTGGTTATCGCGCCAGTTCCCGAACGGCGGACAGCGAGCTGGTTATCGCGCCAGTTCCCGAACGGCGGACAGCGAGCTGGTTATCGCGCCAGTTCCCGAACGGCGGACAGCGAGCTGGTTATCGCGCCAGTTCCCGAACGGCGGACAGCGAGCTGGTCGCGCCAGTTCCCGAACGGCGGACAGCGAGCTGGTTATCGCGCCAGTTCCCGAACGGCGGACAGCGAGCTGGTTATCGCGCCAGTTTCCGAACGGCGGACAGCGAGCTGGTTATCGCGCCAGTTTCCGAACGGCGGACAGCGAGCTGGTTATCGCGCCAGTTCCCGAACGGCGGACACCGTTTCAGTTAACAAGTGGCCCTTCTGGGTGTAGTTCTGCTCCTCTGCTCGGAGATGTGGTCGGCGTATTCTTGGCTCTACCGGACAGGACGAAGTCTATTAACGAAAGGACGACAGGAACACGGATATCAAGATTAAATTTTAAATTTGTCCTGGTTTTGCTTGCGTTAAAGAAGAAAAATATTGTTACCCAAGAGCAAGTATCTGAAAATGTTTTTTTTAACAATCTCCTTTTATATACATCGGAAAAGATTAAAATTCCAGAAACCTCTAGTTGGAAATAAATGCATGAACAAAACAGTTTAAAATTTGTACGAACCACTAAAACTGACGGGCTCGTCAGTACGCCCTGTCGTCTGCAGTAATTGATAAGGGAACTAGGCTATTTGTTTTATTTTAATGATCGGCCTTAAAACGCGGTTTGAAGTCGTGGACCGCACTGAGTTATACGGGTCTTGTGGGGAGAGGAACTGATCCCTATTTTGCCATGTTGGAGTGGCAGCTAATAAATACCGTCTCAGACCAGGAATTTATTGCTTATAGCGTAAACCATTCTGTCGACATTCCGTTGGTTAGTGACACTGAATCTTACAAATCGACCCAAGTGCAAAAATAGGAAGAGGAACGGATAAGGGGGTGGGGTAGTAGATGAAATTGTGGAAGAAGCGAGGTGGGGGAGTTGTTGGTCGAACAGGTAGGGGGATTGTGATGATGGCAGCATCATCCTCTGCGAGCAGCAGTAAAGATTATGGATACTGAAAGGAGGAAACGAAGTGTCCGGCTTAGATTAGTAGCTCAGGGGTTAGCCGTTGGGACAGACTTGAAGGAGGTCCTGAACTGATGATAATAAATCAGATTTGTTGAAAACCAAGGGAAAAAGAATAAAAACATCAACCAAACTTGATGTCAATCTATTGAAACTCTTTTTTTCTTCTTCCATTTCTTTCTCTCTTTCTCTCTTTGTCTCTTTCTCTCTTTGTCTCTTTCTCTCTTTGTCTCTCTCTCTCTTTGTCTCTCTCTCTCTTTGTCTCTCTCTCTCTTTGTCTCTCTCTCTCTTTGTCTCTCTCTCTCTTTGTCTCTCTCTCTCTTTGTCTCTCTCTCTCTTTGTCTCTCTCTCTCTTTGTCTCTCTCTCTCTTTTTTTCTCTCTCTCTCTCTCTTTTTCTCTCTCTCTCTCTCTCTCTTTTTTCTCTCTCTCTTTTTTTTTTCTCTCTCTCTCTTTCTTTTTTCTCTCTCTCTCTTTTTCTCTCTTTTCTCTCTCTCTTTTTTTTCTCTCTCTCTCTTTTTTCTCTTTTTTTCTCTTTTTTTTTCTCTTTTTTTTTCTCTCTCTTTTTTTTTCTCTTTTTTTTTTTTTCTTTTTTCTTTTTTTCTCTCTTTTTTTTTTCTTTTTTTTTTTTCTCTCTCTTTTTTACCGTTTCGTTTGCTCACCGCCCTTTTCTCTCATTCGGACGAAAAATAATAGTTTGGTTTCACGTCACTTTCATTAAGACTTACGTTAAAAACGATCTTGAGTGATATCTTGCCTCTCGGGGAGGCGACTGACTGATTCGTTTTACACGGTTTATCAACCCTTTGCAGGGTATTTAAGGCCAGAAAATATTTTTAGATTCTAATAATATATATATCTTGAGGAAGATAATGGTTTACTGATACAAGTCTTACTAATAACCATATTAGTAATACAGTACAGTCTAATACAATGGGGTCTCAATCGGGGTTGACGGAATTTCTCTCAACTTGCAATAAACAGGACGAGGATTTTTAATAAAAGAGGAAACAGGTAGTCATGAATTCATCTCTTCCCTGCTTCCACCGGCTATATCTTCTGGCTTTAAATAACATGCAAAAGGTTGATAAGACGTAAAACAAACCCTAAATCGATCCTACCGAATGTCAGATATGTGTGATTGCTAGAATCAATCTATTGCTGGAATAACTAGATGGAGATAATCTTAAATGAAATAAACTTCGAAGCTCGTGACAATCTCTTTAACTTATGATATCATAGGTAGGATCATTCTTTTTTTCAGTAATTTTTTTTTCATTTACTTTAATGATTACAGATTTTGTGTCGTAGCCAATTTTGACGCGAATCTGATTCGTCATCACCTGTCCAATGTACAGGTGTGGACGTAGGGGCGTTGCGCTGATGAGCACCTGACCAGTTCCCTCCGCATATCTAAGTTTAAAGCCGGAGAGAAATTCATCATGCATAGCTTGTCTTGAACAAGTAGACTTGGTGGCGCCCATCATCTCTCCAGGTTAAACCACATCCGGTATGTTCTAACTTGAAGGCTCCTCTTGGTCACGGACACGTGGCCGTTGATTCCATCGCAGTTGGTGGGGGGGGACTCTTCGCTTTGGTCGTTAACTTCAGGCTACGTAGACCTCCGCCTAGGATGCCACACTGGTTGCACACATAGCTACTCTATTATGCTTGATGGCCATTTACCATACATGAAGATCCATAGTCACACTCACTGGAAAAGCCTGGTGGGGGGGGGCATTTAAGTCGTGGATGACCCAGCTATCTGGTGACACTGTGGACTAATGAATGTCGGATAGGATTGAGTAAACGGAAAGCCGAAGTCGACGTCCGGTCGAGTTTATTATTCACGGACTACTGGAGGGCACAGAATTTCCAATATGCACTACATGCCAAGAGAAATTTACAGGGAAACATTTACTGTTAGAGTGTAGATTTTGATCTAGTGCAAACAAAATATTACCAAGTGAGTAATTAAAAAAAAAAAATTTTACGAAAATAAAACCATCCAATTTCCTAAAAGTTGGATTGTACACAAAAATGAGTAAATTGAAAAATGGTTCAAATATATATGTATACATAATTTTTTTTTTTTTTTTAACAAACTATCGCTATGAATCTTTCAAAAGTTTTGCTGGCATTAAATGACACACTGAGGTTTTGATATGCCAGAAAACAACCAACTAACCAACCACTCACGTGCCAAAACTCTTGAAAAAGGCATGAATCCGTCTCCCCACCTCCGAGCTATGGGTAAATAGCAATACAGATTGGGTCTTATAGCCTTTGTTGGGAACCAGTCTAGGAGTAGGAAAACTCTGAATTCAGACCATCCTCCGTCAGGCTGTCTTTCCTGTGAAACACTTCCCGCTATGACTTCAGTAGATGTGTTGTCATTACGAATTACTGGATTCGTGTCGTCGGGACCCGGCTATACCATAGGTTGTACTGGGTTACGTGGTAACATTAACACTCGTAGAATGACTTGACATGAATCTAATTAATTATAAAGTTATTAGTTTTATTTTCGTTGTTTACCTGAAGTCTGCGATTTGAAAATGGGAAGAAACTCATACGTTGCTAACGTTTTTACGTGGCCCACTTATGTCGTTTCTAAAATATTTTCGTGGCAATTGTTCTGATAAACTTTCTTCTTTGGGTACTCGACTGCTTGGATTAAAGTGTGCTATTGGATTGGCAATTAGGTTTCATTAATTTACTGTTGAATTAACTCGAGGCAACCGTATATTCTAATAGTTTTTCTTACCTGTGGAAATCCCTTCTGATTTCTTGCTTCCCTGTCAACTACATTTCCTGTCTTTTTACTGCCCTTTCTCTTCACTTCTCCTTACTAAAGTCGTCTCAATCTCTTTCATTCAGTAACTCCTTGCGTTCACGTGGCATTATCGCCTTAGGGTGAAATGATTGAAAAAAATGCGCTTGCAAAGCGTTTATTGCGAAAAAGTGGCGCGTTGAAAATTAGGTGTTAAGGTATTTTTTAAAAATCCGATATTTGGGAATGGATCGAGCTTTGAATTTTTCCCCACAATATAATGCCAGTGATCTTACTTTTATATTTAGTGTTTATATTTATAAACGATGAATATACCATACAGGAAATTGAGTGCTTAGAAATATTATGTGGACTTAGGATTCAACACTGCATTATTACTGAACGTTCTCGCTCTAGTGTCATCTTCATACTAAGATTACATTGAGACATGAAACTGACAGTCACAATGTAGTGTTGATTCCTATATCCATACTGTCAGACATTTAAAACTGTTGAAAATATCCAATCTTTACAAAATCTTCGACATTACGTTCAGAATCAGTATAGAAAAAGTTTTGGGAAATATTTTTTTAAGCCGATTATAAACGCCGGGCTATATCTGATTCGCAGTGGCTTTATCATTAATACTGTTAAAAAAAAATCCAGCGATCTTCACCCATGAAATAAAAAATAATTGTTTGTACGGAAAGTAAAGACCTATGTACATCAAATTGTTTTTAAATTAAGTGGTGGCAGAAGAATTATTGTTTAAATGTTAAAAGGAAAGCTTAAATATTAATGCAATACTTAAATGCAATGATCAATTTTGAGTTCTTTAAGTTTGTTGCCTATCACATCTACTCCTCCCTACCTATAGTGATGAAGACCCAATCAAGGGCCCTATGCATGAGCTAGCTTAAATGCTTCCTGATAGGGCGGCTTTTATGCTAATATATAATATATTATATAATATGAATCTGTGTGTAATAGATGTGTGTGTGTGATAGAGATGTGTATGTGATAGGTGTGTGTCAATTCACCCCCAGCAAGGGAATAATGCCATTAAGACGCAAGAGGCTACTGAAAGTTTATACCCACGCCTAAACAAGATAAACCTCTGCTCCTATTAAATGAGACCGGGGATGAAAGAGAATTAACCTTCTCTGTCGGTAACTCCTTCATTAATTCTTGATCGCTGACGAAATATTTTAATCCCTGTCTATCGTAAAACACCGCATCAATGCGTTTACATTAGACGAACGGAGGCTGAAATTTCCTCGGTCCGGTCATCTTATCAAAATCGAATCAGTAACAGAATAACACTTTTTTTCCTTTCAAAAGCTTTTTGGACGAGCTGAAAACTTCATACAAGTAAAATAAAAGCTTAAAATAGAAATTAAACAGAAATCTCAATGCCAAAATCGGCAGAACTTAAATATATTTAATAATACGATAATAGCAAACTCCCCTACACGGTTTCATTCTCATATATAATGCGTGTGTGTGTAGTATGATTGTGTATGCGCGTGTGAGTGTGTGTAGTATGATTGTGTGTGTGTGTGTGTAGTATGATTGTGTGTGTGTGTAGTATGATTGTGATTGTGTGTGTGTATGATTGATTGATTGTGTGTGTGGTATGATTGATTGTGTGTGTGTAGTATGATTGATTGTGTGTGTGTGTGTGTAGTATGATTGATTGTGTGTGTGTGTGTGTAGTATGATTGATTGATTGTGTGTGTGTGTGTGTAGTATGATTGATTGATTGTGTGTGTGTGTGTAGTATGATTGATTGTGTGTGTGTGTGTGTGTGTGTAGTATGATTGATTGTGTGTGTGTGTGTGTATGATTGATTGTGTGTGTGTGTGTGTGTAGTATGATTGATTGTGTGTGTGTGTGTGTGTGGTATGATTGATTGTGTGTGTGTGTAGTATGATTGATTGTGTGTGTGTGTAGTATGATTGATTGTGTGTGTGTGTAGTATGATTGATTGTGTGTAGTATGATTGATTGTGTGTAGTATGATATTGTGTGTGTGTGTAGTATGATATTGTGTGTGTTATATATGTGCACATATTGGAGAATTTTTAAAACTTTTTTTTTTTTTTTTGTATTTTTTAAGATGCATTCTAACCAATTTCATTTACATTATATTCCCAAACCCATCTAAAAGAAATAAAATGTGGAAGTTTAAGGAATTATGGTCGCCTCCTTTTCGTGTGCATGTGTTGTGACATCAACGGGGGATTTCACTTTAGTCCTAATGGACGAAACGTGTCACAATATTGGTGTAACAACACAGGAGCAGGAAGAGGAGAGTACATTTTTCTTTTTAAATGTGTTTGGATATATAATCTAAATGAAATTGACTAGAGTACATACCCAAACAAATCTTAAAAACAAAATTTAAAAAAATTCTCAATCCATTGAGCGTTGAGTTTTTCTCTTCTAATATCTGACTGTTATCCTCATCTTCATTGTCATATTCCGAACATTTCGGTCGTTGTACGCTCCGGTCTTCTTCAGGTCATTAGAATTTCGAACCGAACGCTTTATTTCATCCACCGGGATAGACTGTTCTCGTTCCACGTGCCATACCTCAACTCTTCAATTGTTTTTTCTTTGTTCACCACTGCTGTAGCTTGGTATTGAACTAACAGTCCGAATAATGTAAATCATAATACCTCATCTCAGAAATATAGACAGATATTGAAGGATCGGTACGGATCCGATATACCAAAAATATACTAGAAAAATTAACCCGTTTACAAAAAGTAAATTAGTAAAGTTAATGATATAAAATCCCTTCGCTAACAAAATTTTAAAGATGCATTAACCCACTAATCACTCGATGAATGTTATGATCCTTGTGTTTTAAAATTATAAGCTGTATTAGGTTTTTCTTAAATACGCAAGTGCTTTCG